CCCCAAAACCCCAAAACCCCAAAACCCCAAAACCCCTTCCCACCTCCACTCCATTGAACTCCCAAAATTACCCAAAAAAACCTCCAATCCCACTAAACCCGCCCTCTCCACTTCCAATTTCGAGCCTTCTCAGCCTCTTCCGGACCCGTCTGATTCTTCTGAGGCAGTGCTCTGTGCAGCACTGTTGGGCTGACTTTTGGAGGGGTTTTGGGGGAGAGATGAGTGGGTTTAGGGAGATTGGAAGGGGAATAGGGGATGGAGTTGGGAGGTTTATGGCGGGGATAGTTTTGGTAGGGGGTTGTAATAGTTTTGTAGAGACGAGGAGAAATGATTTAGAGAGAAATAACCTAGGTCCTTTAAAAAGTAGATGGGATTTAGGGAAATTATAAAGGGGCTGGAGTGATTTACACCATATCGTTATGTGCTTTTATAGCTATTTCTTACAACCCGGTATAATGAAGAGATAACATAGGATGGTCAGCCATTTCTAATTGTTTTAAATCCCTGAGTTCCCATAATAATCTAACTATTTTAACAAACGAAGTATGCTATGTTGGTTTCATTTTTATGGGTTTTAACAACGAGTACTTCAAAGATTTTATACGTAACTTATAAAGAATGATTCTGGGTCCAGCCCGAAGCTTGGATCAAGGTTTGAGACAAGCATTTCAGAAGCATCATTAACTTTCACTTGCTTTGAATTTTTAGTCCGGTTGAAGGGATGGTCTGAAAATCTTGATTTCTGATAAAAAGAAGGTTAGCAACAGGAGACAGGAAATGCTCTCTAGTTTGGATGAACTTTAGCTAAGAGGTGTGCAATCTCTGTATTATTTAGGCGATATATCCTTCTTGAGAAGTTCAGCAGGATTTTATAAAAGCATAACAGTCAAAAACTTTTTGAGCCAAAATTCTTTAAATAAATCAAAATTTAAACAATATTATTACCTTATTATTGCCATAAATCGGACTTGCTAACAAAGCAGAAGCAGAATACACCTCTGGTGCTTTTAGGATCTTCTAAAAAGCTTTTGCTCGAGAATCCATCTTTAACATAAATCAAGTCAGTAAACAACTTTCGAAATTTTATTAAAATTTAGTTGGATACAAAAGTAGCTACCTCAATATGAAAACGATCAGATTTAGCTAAAATAAGAAAGATGACACCTTGGTAAATCTGTTCAAAGAAATAAAATGAATTCAAACATCATACGGGTTAAGGTGAATAATTTATGCAATTGATTTTCTTGGACGAGAACCTTCCTGAGTCTAACACTCTAGTCAAGATATCTCTACTCAGAGAGCCTTTATGTCTTCTCAAAAACCTCACAGCATAAAGCATAAGAACAAGCAATAATATCTAACCTAAAAACTGTGATAAAGTACCTTAAATGTAGACCTATCCCTGTGCTCATTGCATTCAATTACAAAGCCAGACTCTTTGTCTTCTTCATAAAGTCTTCCTTCACACTCTTCTTCCACAGACCCATTCTTTGTTCTGTAATTATAAACGCATCTAAAGCTGAACTACTATCCCTTATTACTGCTTAAACTCCCCCTCAGTAATTAAAATCTAGCCCAAACTTAACAGAATTGTGATCAAAGTTTTAAAACAATTCACCCTTTATCTTAAATTTAGTCTATACAAAACTGTCCTCCATCAGCTTCTTCTTCTGAAGACTCATCCAGGTCTTCTTCTGAGCTAGAAGCTTCCTCTTCATCGATCCCTAAGGCAGAAGTGCTATCTTGGTTACTCTGTGAACTAGAAAGGTCTTCTTGTTCGCCTTCTGCCTCAGAGTTATCTTTAGAAGACACTTCAGAAGATTTTTTAGTACCTTTCTTATCTTCTCTAAACAAATTTGAGATCTTGAAATTAGGATATGTCGGTGAGCATATTGGAGAGGAGGGGAAGGAACACTTTTAATGATGCCCATAGATTAAGGTAAGCTGGAAAGAAGAACATTTAGCCTTACTCCTTAGATCTTGAAATATTAACAAGCTCAATATCTTGGATTTTAGCTCTTTCTATAACTTCTGTGTTGAACTCCATCCCATGATTTTTCATTTCACTAAAGAGTAAACAATTAAGGAAATTTTGGTTTTATTGTAATTTTTGAAGGCAGATAGGATATTTATGAAAGAAACCAATGAAATAAGATAAGTAAAGGGTCTCTTAGGAGACTTAATTGCTTGTTTAAGCTTTGAAATGAAAGTTTTGCTAAATATCAGAAATTAAAAAAGGAGCAATGAATGTATATTTCATAATTCAAAGCTTACATCCTGATTCTCTTTTTCATCTTTACGTTCTTACACCAGAACCTGACTTCATAACAAATTGAGAATATTATTTTCAAGGCGATAATTCCTCCCAAAGCCAAGACCACCAGGAACAAATACTCAGTCTGGTCTTCTCTTGAGAAGAACACAACACACCAGCCAGCAGCAATATTCGCAAATAGCCAGACAATTAGGAAATTGCATCTGAAGTTCTCATAGTCAATCCTCTGAGCTTTGTCTCTTTCGCTCTCGGTCCCATTTTCGTCTTCAGAGCCTCTAGACCCCCAGGTCACATCATGAATGTTCGATATTGCGTAGATGGTCATGATGTTGATATATGTTGGAGCCATGAAAAAGATGAAGATTGTTCCTTTCACAAAATCTAAGAACTTCAATCTTCTAAAGTTAAGAATCATCGGTAACACATAAGTGCAGATGACTCCTCCCACAGCTATGTACACCTTGTAGTTGAGTTCGAGATTCATCACAGAGATCAGCACTGCAACGCTCATCAAAACTGAGAAGACTCCCATAAACACAGCAATTACTTTGAAGATTCTATCGCACCATTCCAAACGAACTCAGGTGCTCAAGATCAACGTGAAGAAGATGAACGCCAGGTAGATGTTCTCAAGAATATTTGCTGTTTTGGACAAGTCAGGTCATTCTGCTTCTGAGAACACTGATCTCAAGAATATAGAGTAGGCTGCATAGTATAGACCAACAATGAGAAGTCCAGCTAAAGTGTTAATGGCCATGTACAAGAAGAACAACCAATAAAATAGAGCTCGTAATTTCCCACTTCTTCTGCAGATTCTGAGTGGATGGCATAACACATATAAAGTAGCAAAAAGACTTCCATTGAACCATCTTCGTCTTTGTTTAATCAGCACTTTGAGTTCGCTCGGAGCGTCAGTATAAGCCTTACAGCCAGGAACGTATCTAATCAGGAAAGGATACCCTTCTTTGGAAATGATTTCTAAGGGCATGATTCGGTCTTCGGCTAGAAATTTGTTGCCTTCAGAGCAAGAAGGATATGGCCTTGATGGGTCTGAAATGATAGTCCCTTTCAAGAATTCGTTCAAAGGAACTCCTTCGATGCATTGCCATCTGAACATTGAATAGGCTCCAGGTAAGACTGAGATGTAGCCAAATAGCGATTCAGCAGATTTATCGAGATAGTGAGAAAGCTTGTATTCGACATATTGAGATCTTTGGAGAATGCTCTCGAAGAAAGTAACTTCTTTGCCATCATCGTGCTTGTCATTGAGCATCACTTCGATTTCTCCACATCAAGCTCCAGTGTTGTAGTTCAGTTCCATAAAAATAGACATTTTGGACAAACTGTTCCAGAGGGGAATGGTTCCAGCATCAATAATGGTAGCCAATGTTGGTTGAACTGTGTTACAGAAGCCTTTGAAGAACCAAAGATGACTCTCAATCTTGCCTCTATTAAAATGCTTTACAACAAGATGTACATCGATAGGCATGGAACAGAATCTCCTCGTCTTAATTTTGGTCTCCTCGTCATCACCATACAGAAAGTCTTCAATAGCAAGGTCGTCAATCTTGAAGCCTTGCTGTTCTTGAACACTAAGACCACTCAGGAAATCTTCAAACCTCATGGACCTAGAGTAGCAGTGGGCGATGTTCTTAGTTTCCAAAGTTATATCAGCAATGCCGTCACTATCATTCTCCAAATTTGATATAGAAGGTACTTCAGAGTAATCAAAATTGTCATCTTTCTTTTTCCCCGTTTTCTCTTTATTTACATTCCAGTAAGTTTTAGAGCTTTCATTATTATAAATACCAGCCTTCTCGTATCTTTTCATGTTCTCCATTCCTTTTTCCCCCTTTGTAAAGATAGGGTAGCCATCGCATACAATGCACACTGAAATCTTGTCTTCATACTTGTTCTTGTTAATCTCCAATAACTCAAAGTAAGCCCTATAAATCCCTGCAAGGGACTGCAATATCTGGATGTAAGGCTCATTGAACATAGTAATACAGAACATGTGATGTATGCCTCTTCGAGATTGGTTAGCAATAATCCCTCCGGATCTCTCAACGGGGGCTAACTCCGAGTGCTTCATCATTTGGGCTTGAGGATTTCCTGAATATGTCATGAGTCTACTCCTGCTCTCTTCGTCTTCAATTCTTCTGCCGTATTCTCCTATTCATACAAGAGGGAAGTACTCCATTGGGCTCGTGTATATAGGGTCGTCGGCAGTTACAATGGAAGTTCTAGAATTTTGGTCGCTTTCGGTCATAAACAATTATGGTAGAGGGGGGTTGGGTTTATTAATTGCAATTTTTTGGGGATTTATAGGGGTTTTGGGGTTTTGGGGTTTTGGGG